TCACAACCTCCACCACCCAGGGTTTTTTCTTTTTTCTTGTACTTCTTCTGGGTTTGACTGGGTGTGTCTGCTCTCTGTAACATGAGAGCCACATGACCAATAGGAAGGCAAACAGTCTGGAAGTTAGAGTTCTTCCGCAAACTTTATGAGGTGAGTCCGTTTCTCTTGAAAATGTTTCATAGTGGACAGGCACATTTTAACTGCGTGTGAGCAGCGACATTATAAGGGTCCTGTAGTGTTAGTGTTAGTGCTGATGAGCGGAGGATCGATTCAGCTTAATCGACTTCATGCCACTCTCGTTACATAATCGAGCTGTTTTTTTTTAAATCCGCTTTTTGTTCACTGCTGTTAAAAGTCCTCGTATATTTTGTTTTAATAAAGCGGAGTGGGTGATTAGACGAATCTGCAACATTTAATGCAGTTCAGGCAAAACTTTTATGGGCGTTGGTTGCCAGATCTGGTGCCACCGCTTTACTTTTTCCAGGAAGTGCTTGTGTTTTTTTTAATCCACTGACGCGGCTGCGCTGTAACGCAAACCTAATCTGTGGTGTGAAGCTGCTGTGTTTGTTTGTTTCTCTGCCCATCAGATGTAAAACGATACAATTACAACCCTCGCGCGCGGACTGATCGATACTTCATCCATTAAGAGAGCGCATTTAACAGAGCGTTAAGTTTTTTTTCCCTGCTCAGTGGTCAGACTGAGTGGTCAGCTGTCAGATGGAGGGTTTGTTCTACTGTCCAGATGAAGCTGGCACTAAAGTCAGTGCAGATAGCGCATGCGCGTTGTGCGTTTCTTGCCACTGCACAGATCCTCATATAAATTTTCCATTAGCATATCACAGTGTTTAAATTCTGCACAGTAATAATAGATGAGAAGAAAACCGCCATCCTGGCTGATAGTTTTATTATATTGCTCTTTGAGACCGTATCAACGCATAAGCAGCATATTATTGGTCAGTTCAGTCCTGAGCTGACAGAGCTAAAGGTTACGCCTCTCCAGTGGGTCACACAGAACTGAAAGGTCATCATAATATTAATGTAATACAAAAAAGATAAAGACACTTTTATAATGTTTGCTGATTTGTAGAATATACTGTATTTACCCTCCTCTTTGGTCTTTGAGTACTGATTCATGTTGGTATAACTGTGAACAACTTAAAGATACCTGAAATGTAACTAAAGACCCCAAAAATCACAGAAATCATTTTGCATTTTCTTTAGATTTTTAATGTAAAAGCTTGATCTGAAAAGCTCTGGAGTTAGAAAATATACTGGTCAAATAGGAACAGCAGGAGAATGACTAAAACAGCATCTAAATGGCAGCACAGACTGCGGTGTGCATCTCTGTTATGTGAGCCGCAGCAGCTCTTTGTCTATGAAAATGTGATTTCTTTAAGCATTTTATGTTTGAAGCATCTGCGTGGAGGTGTTTCATGCACTCAGACTGCAGTTACAAAACCCACGAGACCCCAAGAAGTAGCGAAACCGAGAGATACCATCAGTGGAAACATTTTTTATGCTTAAATCAAATGAGATGCTGTAACTGGAAATGCTCTAACCTCCTGCTGGAATTTCCTACTTTGCTGTTTTTCTTAATTTTTAGAACAAAATTGCACAAATATAACATCCTACATATATTATATTTGAGAAACAGCCAAGTGAACAGCATTCATGTTTCCTCTTTGCTGTCTGGGTTGCTGAACATATCATATCCTTTATATCACTTTTTTTGTTGAAGAGGTTTGTGTTTGTTTATTCACAGGTGTGGCACTTGATGAACAGATGAAATATGAAGCAACTGATTAGCTTAGTTTGTCATAAAGACAGGTAAACAACACGTCTGGCCCTTTCCCAAAGAATTCTTGGCTGGGAGCAGTGACTTTGACTCCAGGCCAAAATGTAGCCAATAAAACATAGCTAAACCCCAAATTCTTTTGCGCTTAAGTTTTTGTATAAATTAATCAAACAAGATGAACATTTACTGG